CCCCCCCCCCCGAGATGACCTGCGGTTTTCTAATACAACAGGTATTCTGCAAAAAAAAAAAAAAAAACTATTTGGTTTATTGGTGTTGAAGTAGAGCAAGAGACGAGTGCACCCCCTCCTAAAAAAAATCCTGGATCCGCCGCTGGCCCTTGCTGTGAGCTTATATCCATGAACAGACTACACTTTTGAAACAGGGCTTACTGAACATCAAAGTCAGCCATAATTTAATCTATTAGATTGAAATGCATTTGCATTTTAAAGGTTTCCCTGGTGCATATTGTACCACGCATAAACATCAGCACATGTTTGACCTCTGTTATCGCTTTCGTAACAGTTCTTTAAGTCTTGTCCGTACCAAATTTGAAACTCATCTCCAACAGACACAGATATTGGAGAGGGAAGATTATTAAATCGAAGTTCGGTCTCATTAACACCTACACCTTCGATTCTATATGGATAGCCACAAGTTTCGTTCTTGTAAACTGCCAAGAAAAGAGCGGATCTGTTCTTGAACGTTAAGACAGTAAGGAGTCTCGTGTCTCCATAATAGGGATTGACACATCCCCAATAAGAAGGTGGGTATTTGGCGTTACATCTAATTGACCCATTAAGATGAACGAGTTTAAAGGTATAAATGACCCCACTCTCTGTGATGTTGAAAGCCCCATGTAGGTCATTTCGAGCTCCAAAGCAGACTGGGCCAGTATTGATCTTCTTCCACTTTTCTGAAAAACATTTGGACGCAAAATTTAAAACTAACTTGATACTTTAAGTCGAGCACGTGTTATTCTGCTTCCGATGAGTGTCAGTAAGTTGAAGTACACCTTTTGCTGTTCATTACAAGAAAATACGCAATCATTTGCGTGAAACGGCGACCAATAGTGCAAAGATACATTCATTAGCGCGAACATTCAACTATTTGCGCATAAATCAGATTCAATTGCGATTTTTGCATTTTAATCAACATTCAATAACACTTTTTGGCATTCATATGCGTCATTGGGAAAACAGAAGAAAAAAATATAGTTTATTGACACCAACATCAAAGTCATTAACCCCATCTTGAAAGTCAATAGGGACAACTGACATACATTAAAGTGCAAGGAGTATACTAATTCATTACATTTTTATGACACTGTTTGCAATTCAATAGCATTCCTGGACAACCTGAGGATGGATGAGACAAACATCAATGCGCCTGACCAATCAATTGAGTGTTCTTTACATTTAATATACAAAAATCGATTTTCAATTAAACAAGAGAAATTCAAACAAATTTGGCCTGAATTTCAGTCCGTTAAATGTATATCCCTCAAAAACCTCCTCATTTAAACATTTTGAGAGGTAGGTGTGCATGAAATGGTACCCCTTAGCAAGGGGGTGGGGGAGGTGTCACCAAGGAAATCTGTGGTACAGTCCCCCTGCCAGTATGACGTCACGTCTCGTGTCAGTAACTTTCAAAATGGCGAGCAAAGTGTTCATCGAAAGAAACGGATGGAAATTTTATCACGGAAATACTGTTCCGATTTCTTGGATTTGAAGATCTTAAGGTTTCCATTGTCACAGAAAACAAGACTTAAGTACTTTTTTGGAATGAAATGTCCACTGGTGTAATGAATTTTAAAGATTCCATTCTATCTTCGAGCAAATTTTACGTGCAATCATACCGACCGGTCACACTTTTGAGGGCCAGTGCACAGCAAGATTGAGAGTTTAGAGACAGAAATAGGAGGTTTCTCAAAGGATGTGTTATAATTCACAATGTGCGTATTTTCAGCTCTTCAGAGCTAGTGGAAGCCCATATCATTCCGCTCAAAGTTTGCTTGGTTGTAACGTTGCATGAGGAAGCTAAATGACAGGTATTTGTGAGAGACTGTGAGCATTGAATCTTGTTGCTTGAATCTTGTTGTTGAGATTGCTAGGGCTTTGCCCTTATTGCTGTTATACATCTTTGAATTTCCGGAATCGAGGTGTCGGCTTCAGGTGTCGCTTTCAGACAACTTGAATACTTTTTCAACGATGTCGAGGGGGGAAGCATAAGCTGTGTACGAATGGGGCGGGAATGCCAGGCCAAATCTAGGTAGGCTGGCACCCCATCATACGGAAATACCACCGACTTATCGGGATCCATTTTTTCCTCGCCCGTGCCAGAAAGTCACCGAAAAACAGACACAATATTCATTACTCCAGCAGCTGCCGAGAAAAACATTTGATAGGTGATATTACTACGGTCATAGTCAAGGTTTGTCCTCGTTGGCCGCACACTTGGCGGTATTCCCTGT